CATCAAGTCGTCGTACAAGTCGATATCGATCAAAACTTGAGAAGGCGAGGAAAGAATTTCTTTCAAGTGATGCTAGCAGTGCACCTGGTGAGTACTCTTATCTTCCAAAGTTCGAGAGTCCTTAATACTGTAAATATTCCTGCTTCTTAAGTATTTTTTATTTTTTAGGAGATAGCAGTATTGCTCCTTCAAAATTTATTTTTGACGGTATGTCGAGAACACATATGGAGGTAGCATACATTTAAGTTAAGATTTCTGATAATATGGATCTGAAGTGCGAATAAGCAAATAACCAATTAAATGCAAATTATGTTCTCAGATGCAGTGAGCGAACGTTTTCGTCAAACATCGGACGACATATTACGATCACGACCGGAATATCATGGACCGTTGTTTCAAAAATTGCAAAAGAGTGAATTTAGTTCGAAACATGAATTAAATCAATTGCCATATGATAACACTGGTCCCAGTCCATATGATCAGGTATTTCTGTCGAATTTTTTTCTTTTTTTCTGTGTCGATAGAAATGAGACTTTCGCCTTTAAATTAAAACATTTTTTTGGACCAGAAGTTTTTAGGATGACATGCAGCATGGGCAGGTAAGGTGCAATTTAGAATTTGACAGAAGTGTTTGGGAGAATCAGAAATGTGGATCCGTAACATAATTTATAAATAAGAAATTTTAAAACTGGAAGAAAATATTGCAATAAGCTAATTTGAGCTTTAAAAAATGATAAATTCCTCAAGTTTGCTCGAATGGTTTTGCTTTGCATCCGCTTTCTTATTAATTCAGATCTGCTTCAGCATTTTTCCTTTACTTCGAAGTTGTTTTTATCATTCACATAAAGATTTCTCAAAAAATGAAAATTTAAAAATTTGCTGTTTCTGAAATAACTTCGTTCATTTTCATTTCTTTTTTATTGAAATTCTAACGCTTTACTAAAAATTCCATGCTTAATCAATACAAAAAGTGTTAATGAAAAAGCAAACCAACAGCAGGAATACAATCGTTTGTTTGAGCGAGCAGAGCGCTACTGGATGCCTTACAAACAACGCCTCTCACAACCGAATCTGTACAGTCGAAATCGAGGTTACTCGACGTCATACCTGGAGACAAACCTCGACACTGGAATTGGTGACATTGTTTCAGTGCAACGCCAGGTTCCACATATGACGTATTTTCTCCCCATTTATGCTTTTCTTTCCAATGCGTTTCATGCTTCTTCGCTATAAATGGTCTATTGGATGAAAGAGGGGTTTACGTTATTTTACCGAACTTAATGCTTCTAATTGACCAGAGATCTACTTAATATTTTCCAAGCGAATTTCTTCGGTGAAGTTACAACAAGATCTCCATTTTGGTATTTTTTTTATTCAAGACAATTTATATCTGTCAACAGTCCGCCTACACTTTAACATCTGACACTGTTTTCAAAGATTTCATAGTGATCCACTTCGGGATAAACACTATCTGTACCTAATCACTGACATTTGTTTGATGTAGTAAATTACTATCAATAACATGTTTTTGTTGGCTGTGTTTTGTTTAATATATCTTTCGTCCTTACCTCTTCAATTAAGTTTCCAGCGATACGTGAATTGCTGTACAGATATCGATTTCGGTACATAACTTCACGTGGTGGGTATATAACTTCACGTACTTCACGTGAAGTAGACGGTGCTTTAAGACATGGGCTATTAAGTAGACCGACTTGTGGGTAAAATAATTTTGATAGAAAATGCTGCCAAATGTATGCAGAGTTTTCCTTTGTTTTGAGTTATATAGGATTTCTTCTGAAGATTGGTTTCTCTTCTTCCAATTTAGGAATAAGTCAAGGAAATACAACGAGATCAAAGAAACTTCTGATTTCTAAAACCTTTGCAACTTTCGGAACACTTGAAAATTAGCCAATATTCAGATTTTAATATCATGTACCTTCTGAAGTTTGTATGAGGCGTGCGAAACATGTTAGTTTTCGGACAAATTAAATTCTGATACCCAATAACAGATGAGTTAGGATAATGAGACTAATTAAAGGTTGTAATCATTCCTTTGCTGCACTGCTTCAACAATTATGCTTCCTTTGTGCATTTCCGATCAGGATTCCCGTATTAGGGCAGAATATGCTAGTGAGGTAGTCAATTTCAAATTTGAACGTTTTCATACATACTGAACTAATACTTTTTTGAATATGGTGTCTGTTATCCTATTCCTTGGATATATCACAGGTCGAGGAAACTAATTTGGATGATGTCCATCGTTCTGGTTCCGTGATGGATTACAACAGTTTTAGTCGACGTGATACACCGCAAAGCATCGTTACACATGTCCGTTCAAAAAGTGCCGATTATTTGATGGATCGAAAGTATGTTGGTTTTTGTAAAAGCTTGACTAAAAAGATTCTCCATTTGTTGATTATAGAACTAATACATAAAGTCAGTTCTCTTCATGATTGCTTTTTATAATATGAATTGTTTATCAGAAATTTGAACTATTTTTGGTGAGTAATGATTTGATGATTAAACTAAAAAGGATTGAAAGGGTAAAGAATTCTATTTAATGAGTTAATATGAAAGAAGGACCAGAGAAAGAAATCCATTTAAGAATTTTCTTCAACCATTTTTTTATTCAGTAATTATTTTTAGGATGCGTGAAGAATCAGCGCCACCGGAAAATGAACTTCAGAAATTCTGCGAAAAAACCCCAAATATTTCGGAACACGAATTACGGTTCCGGAAATCTACGGAAAAATTACACGTACCAGATTGGTATCGCGAACGACATATAGGACATAGTACTGGTCATGAGAGAAGAACAATACCAGGTGGTACTTCCTTTGGTCTTTCATCACCAGTATCTTACAGTGGTATCCGAACGACAACTCAGTACGAAACGTCTGATATCCGTTATACTACTCCCTTTTGCTATGAACAAGGTCGATATAGTGCTCCACCTCAGGTAGTTTCCATCTCAGGATCATCGACAAGCGGTACTGCTACTGTAATCCCATACGGCATGTTCGACAAATATAAGGATGAAATAGAAGAAATGCGTAGGAGTCGAACATCATTGAATCAAGTCGGCACCAGTGATGATAAACGAAAGGTTTGCATTGTGTAGTAAGAATCAAGCGGTATATTATCAGTATCTTTACTATCAGAACCAATGTTTTAATTCATCTTTGAAGGCGAGATTAAAGAGTGAAGTTTTAGTAGAATTTTACTTGTTGAGGACAGCAGGACACAGGGAGCCAAGGGTGTATATCATGCCAGAGGTAGTATGAGCAACATACTCTCGAAATGCTTTTAAATCACTGCACAAATGTTCCTTGGTTAGGCGACCAATTTCGTCGAATGTTGGCTGAACATCGCACTATGTAATTGAAAGCCTGCTTGCTAGAGTCTCTCAGATTTTTTTCTTTTCGAAAAGAAATATTTCAGTTTCACCATATATTTATTATTTTAACAGGAATTTCTGTCGACCTCTACCCTTGCTTTGTTCGGCATTTTTGAATTTACGCCTGCTCAGAATTTCAGTTTTGGTTTTCTTCCTTTGTTATTTTGTTTTCATGGTTTCATATTCTTCACTTACCGCTAACAGATTTGCATAAGATGCCAGAAGGCTGATATTAAAACTGAGTACCCTTTGATTGATTGAAGAATAGCACTGATTTTTATTAGCGATAAGTTATGGATCCTCCTCCAGGAGCTCATCAACAACCGTATATACATATTTTCCTCATCGGAAATAACATGAAGTTTTTTTGGATGAAGTTTTTTTATGCGTATTTGTATTTGTTGTAATAATTAAAACTGAGGAAATTTCTGAATTACTTGAATCTCACAAAGACATTTCTATTACAAAGTTTGTTTGTTACAACGTTTTTAAACTTCTATCTTCCATATTTTCTGTGATTTCATATCTGCTGCTTAATTACTGTTGCTCGCATTTTCTCAGCTTATAAACTCTTTTCTCAAAACTTTCATCCTAATATGCATTTTAATTTTTCTTTCCTTATCAGTGATGCATAAATTTCATTCAATGATTACGTTCCAGCACTGCAAATGCTTTTGGTTTGACGTATTACGTCAGATTTTATTCGTTTCACTTAACTGAGGTCTATTTCATCCTTTTCGGAATAGTCGGTTTGCTTGATCCTTGGCAAATTTCCGGAATATGGTTGCGGAGTTTCCGAGAAGATTATTACGTTCTCGTTTTCTGTTTTTACTGACTAAAGTTATCATATGCTTTATCAATTTTTGTGGTTATTTCCATATTGCAGCTCTATCCCATACATTCCTGTTGATGTTACTTTGGCCTAATGCTGTTTCATTTCCCAATGGAACGAATTTTAACGGTCGAGAATGAGAAATGTGCTGACGTATTACGTTGAACTATTTGTTAATGAAAATCTTTTGATAAGTTCGCTTCCCAAAGTATGCATTTTTTTTTGTTATTGGTGAATTTTAAACATATAATTTCCTGTTTTCTGAGAATAAAGTTATTATTTGTCAGATGCTGTTTGCCTTCCGCTTTCTTCTACCTCTCCTTGCATGCTTATTGCACGGATTTCTTTTCTGATTTTAAACAAACTGATTTGAACAAATTTTGCATTTCGGAATGAAACGAAGAATTAGGAATGAATAAATGGAAATTTTCGTTTTTGTACGATAGTAAATAACAATAACGGAATATCTGCTGCTGGTCGGAGTGTTCTGACTGTTTGAATCTGCCCAAGCAATCATTTTATCCCGACTCGTCACCTTCGTGACATCAGATGAACCTTCACCCCATTGAGATGTATTAAGTTGTCTTTTGAATAAGTTTAAAGTTGAATAAAACAGGCGCATCGAACCTGAGGTCAACGGCATGGTTCATAATCAGAAAATCAAAAATCTTACTAGATAGTTACTAAGAAAAGGAAGTGAAGTTTTATTAAAAACGAATTCAATTTGTTAACTTACGTTCGCTGACTCAGGTCCTCTTCGATTCAAAGAAAGCTTTTCGTTGGTTTGAGTTTTTAATAAATTAACTAGTTAAATGAAATGGATGGCAGACAAAGATCTATGCATGTGAATTATTTCATCTAAACTGCAAAGAAAAAAACTGTTTAGACGGAGGGATTTTTATGAATTTAGCTGGGGAATTTTTTTTTTAAAAATTTTTTTTCTTCAGGAGCAAGAAGACAACTCTCTTTCCAATGAGCAAAATTCGATTTGCTTGGTTCGTTTTGATCCATTGACCTTTTCGAATTAAGTTACCAGAACTTGAAGAGAAAAAAGAAATGAATAAGTTAATAAAAAGAGTTATCACTTTTCAAAAATTTCTTGCAAATAATTAACGAACAGATGCAGATGAATACTGATCTACGCTTTCCCTCAGTGTTTAACTGAGATTAATTTAGAAGATACCTCTTACCTAAATGCGCAAGAAATAGTACTTTAAACAGTCATCCTTTTTATACTTTAATAAAATTGTGCTACAAATAGGTGCCAATGAATGATGGAGAAGAATCGTCAACAGGACTTATTACTTCCAGTAAGCAATTACCCGGTTATACAGTAACCGCAGTACCTTCCAACTGGAATATACCAGGTGACCGGTAAGTTTCCTTATTGTTTCAGCACACCATTTACAATCGATTTATCAGTAAGCCTTAATAATGAATTTAAGTTATAGGCATTCTCGAGTGGTGGAAGTAGCAGATACATTTATTGGGTCGAGCAGATCGTCTTCCTCCTACAATGGTTGAAAATTTTTGCAAAAAATCTCAAATATATTAACTTTGTAACAGATTTGAATTATTTTAGCTAAAGAGACCGATTACTAGTTGTTTTTGGGGGATTGTTTGTGTAACAGTTCCTGAAGTTGCTCAGACCTAAGCTTTAAGCCCAAACTATACATTTCATTAAAATTTTCAAAATTTCTAACTTTAGACACGTACTTACAACGCTTTTTTGGACGGGTCACAATCGAAGAAGTGCTAGATTCCATCTTTCAGCGTACAAAACCGTCATCATCAAGGCTTGAAACAAGGTTATCTTGTCGAAATTTATTTACTTACATATTATTCATCTTACTTGTTCGTCAAAATGAAAAAATTTCTGCTTTTATAGAATGTAACTATCATAAACTAGATCATGTTTCGTTCAGAATAACTTTAAGAATCGACAACTAATAGAATTACCTATTAATAGGTAATTAATAATATATAATAATAATGTAATTAATAATACCTGTTAATAGGTAATTCCATTCTCACTAAATGCTTAATAGATCTGGGAAGTCTTTTGGTAGACATTTGTTACCTTTACTATTTCCTTCGTTTGTGAGCGCATTCATTTTCTTATATGTTTACCTAATTGTTTTTGAAATAATAACATCTGAATAATGACCTGTCATTTAAAAAAAACTTATATTTCGTTCAGAATGGTCATTCTCATTTTCCCTTTAATCACTTTTAGGACATATAGATAATCTTTACAATCTTTATTTCAGTCTCTCAGAAGATGAAATTATCGAGGATGGACAATTGCAAAAGTCCGGAATCTATGTTAGAAGTAATGAACTGATGCAGCAATTAGTGCGAGATCCACATGAAGCTGAAGCTCTTCTTCAGGTTTTTTAAACAAAAAAGAAAAAGAGAAAAAAAATTTAAAAGAAAAAAAATTTGGAGCAATTAGTTTTGCATTCTCTGACCAAACCTGTCCTGTTTTGCTTCTAATCAGGAAACTGTTTCAAATTGAAGTGATAAAAGAGAAGAATGGGTTACAGTCTCAAGAGAAGACTACTTCAAGTTCCTTAATAGCTACTGCGAAGCGAACATTCCACAGCCTTCGATATTTTCTACGATGTGTAATCACCTTAGATTAAAATGGTTGGAGAAAAATTTGAAGTCTTTTGGGTAAATTCCTCTTCTGAATATTCACTTCATGAAAATAGATCACTGCAGAACGAACGACTGTATGTACGATGTGCTCGATGTCATCAAACGAGAGAATTAGCAGAAGCTCGAATGCGATACATATCATGCAAACACTGCTACACATATTACTGTAGTCGTCAATGTCGCGAATACGACTGGTCAAAGCACCGTGAAGTTTGCTCCTTTTCAAGGATTAATACTCTTTGCAAGGAAGTTATCATGAAGGTAAGAAATGATTATTTGTTTATCAAGCAAACAGATCTAACCAATTTGCTGGCCCATAATGACCATTTCGTTTTCAAGGAAACGAATAATTTGATAGATTAGACTGTTATTTACTTAAGAGAATCAGACAAATGGACATAAAGAAGTATGACAGAGAGTTCGATGATCTTTTAAAGGTACGCAGAGATCCGGAAGCTCAGTTTTACATGTCAAAGATAGCACGTGATGGTTATTCAGCACTCGGTCGCGGTTCTGTTAATTTGAGGATAAATTCGGCACACACCGCACAAAGTTATATTACGGATGGCTGGCGAGCAGTAGAAAATTTCCCACTCAGCAAATTACTGCATTATTACACCATTGCAGCACTAATTGCGGAACGAAAGGAACCATCCTTAATTACTTTGTGTCGTCAATATAATCCAACGTTAGTTCAACAATTTTTCTTTCATTTAATTATCTGAAAGCTCTCTGGCTGAATGTTTAAATGAAATCTCTGAGAGATTCTGATTTAGTCAGAGTATGATAAGTAAAAAAGCTTTAAGCTTTAAATGTATAAATCTGCAATCGGTTCCATCACAAATGTAATGAATGTATTTCATTACAGTGATAAATTCATCCTTAGTGTGAGCATCATTGCTGACATTGAGCAGTGTCCGCAGACGCCACCACCTGAACCAGTAGTTATCCGGAGAACTTTACCACTATCGCAATATGCACGACAATCATCACTGTCCCCACAACAACTTGCTGAACAAGAAAATATTGATTTTATACAATCCGACGAATTCCGTTCCGCGGTGCCGACTGAAGTTTAGCAAGAGGAACAGTGAAGACTAAAGCCATACATGCGTATACAACACATTTGAATGAACGACAGGTTTCGACAGGTTCATAAGGTCCAAAGGAAACAAAAAAAAGTCGATCTCATCGCATATACTGATTACCGTTCATGACCTTAAACACACTAACCTTTGAAATGCTCACAACTCCTAATTATAATTCACTTTTACTTGTTATTTCATCCGGTTCGAATTAACGCCTAACATTGTCATTTTCACAAACGTGATATCTTTTCTTACTTTTGACTAAATGCGATGCTAACTGTCGCTTTCTTTCGTCTACGTTTTTCTCTCCAGAAGTTATTTTTGTCGTTGCATAACGAAAAAAGGAACAATTTACAATGAATCATTTTCACATGAAATAATAATATGATGATATGATGATAAATAGTAAGTAATATGACCGATTTCCAACCAACTTAATTTGAAGAAACCGCTTCTAGTCAGATTCAAATTACTTCCGATCAACATGCACTCCATCATTGTGAGGCAATACTAGAAAAAGTTGAGAACTTGACTAGCTATCGCTCGTCCATTCCTGATTCCATTCTTGAAATGAGTTGAAAGTGATCTGATAATAATCCAAAAGTCCATACTCCCAAACCTGTTTTTATACTTTTTTTATGAACGAGAACGTCAACTTTTAGGATTTCCGGATCGTGGCAATAACTGTGACTTATACTTGCACCGTAGAACTTCGAACAGCGAGTGTGTTAAGGGCGCTACACTGATAAGACAATGTCCCACTACGTCTAAATCAAGGCGAACTTCCTCCGTTTTGATCGATGCTCCTTCTTCTAATAGTTTACACATAAATTTTGATGTCCAATATATTTACCATCAAAATATATTCCATAGCTTTATCATAATTTTTACATTTTTGAAACGTGCAAATTTATCAACGTAATCCTGCATTTCTCTTATATTATTCGACAACAAAACTTTCGAATGCGTGAAAATTACGGGATTTTGAGGGGAAAAATTCGAACCCTTGTTATCATTAAGTAGGCACCATATCAAAAAAGTATCACCGAATAAAGGTCACAAACTTTGAAAATATCAAGTAAATCCAATGCCGATGCCGCGACAATTTTTTTTTTAACTTTTAATCCTCGTATCTCTTCCAGAACAGAAGTGTAAAATTTAAATGAAACCACAAAATTTTCTGAACAACAACTTACATATCCCAAAATGAGATCATAGAAGTTTCTAGAAATTCACGCTCCATAAAAATTTCAAAAGTTCCAGAACTCAAATTCATAAAAATATATAGATCATATGACTAATTTACTCTTTAGATTGGAGCATTTTACGAAATTCTCTGCAAAGTGAAAAGAATTAAGCAGTATCATAATCTTCATCATCTTCATCTTTCGACAACAGCTCGCTCAGTGATCGTTGTATCCCCCTATTTTCTTGTTGAAGTCGATTCAGTTCCGCAGCTTCCGCTTCCAGTTGTTCTTGACGTGCCTAAACAAGTACTCTTTAATAAATTGTAATCGATCTCTTAGGACCTTCATCAAGCCTTAGTCTATCCTAAACAAAATAGAAATAACGAGAACTGGTCACCCCTGCACTTAATGTAATCTAAAACATAAGAATAGAAAATTTTTCAGAAAGATGGTTGCCATAAATCTCTCATCTCACTCAGTGTACTTCTACAGATCATCAGAAACATCCCGAAAAGAATTAAAATTTTGCATACTTTCTCAATTAACTTTTGTTGCATCAAATACAACTGATCCTCCGGAATACCACATTTATCCAGTCGCGAATTTTTTCGCTTCAATTTATTTTCCGCAGCTATTTTGCACTCACTAAGCACACTATCCGCTGCTTCGACGTAATCATATGGAAATGCCAAATTCACTAAGGCTGAAAAAAGTAATAATACAGAAGTTTTCATTATAACATGCCAAAGAGTTTCCAGATCTGAAAAGGGAAAATAATAAACTATTAACGGGGAACGATATTTTAAACGCTGACGGTAATCGACTTAATCTAGCTAATGTAATTCCAGTAGTATATTTATGGAGAGGAAGGAGAAAATAGTAGTTTAAAACATGCTCAAGAGAAATTTTTTTCACCATACAATGTGATTTGAAAACGGAAAAGATATGAAGATGGAAACGAAAACGAGAGATGATATATGATAATAAGCTTATTCGTATTCCACTGGTTTTTCGAGATGAAAAATTATGGACATCAACAGAATTACCATTCCTCTTCTGGAGTATTGCTAAAGAAAACACATCAGTACAAGTTATTCGCGTGTTTTTCCATATCTTCTTTCTTTCGCTAATTTCCCCATGAAATTTTCATGAATACTCACCTGATCATTATGCATGTACTTTAAATAGTTTTGAAGAATCCATGTCAGTAAGCATATAAGTAGATGTAAATCTAACTAAACTGAAGCATTGTACCATTGAAAATAAATTCATTCATATGATCTTTAGGAGATGTCCAATTTAACAAGTAAGCTTACAGAATGATTTCAGTCAACACAATAAAAATATAATCAGTCTATTCTGAAACATTTTGAATAGACAAAGAGACCAATAATTTTTGATTTAACTAGACTTCAAAAACTTTCTTCTTGACTTTTACAATAATGTCCACTTTTAGGAAAAAAAGTAATAACAAATATATGGGTATAATTGAATGTATGGTCCAAATAAAAACGAAAAATGCATCAAAATCAAAGCAGAGATGAAAAACACATTAACAAACAGAAAACTGATGTTAATTAAAACTTTCCAGCAATCGATATCATGATAGCCTTTTCTCTATAGTACAATCCCTCCAGTATATCAATCGGTCATGTTGGTTTTGATGAGCTTTTTTATCAATGAGTAAATGAAAATCTTGGAATTTCATATTTCTTAATTTTTTGAATACAGAGCGAAATCCTATAAAAAATTTGAAATTAGTTCCATTAGTTGACAAAAATAATCAATATAAAAATTAAAGAATACGAGGAATGTTTTTATTCTAGTTCTGTTCTTTAAAGAAAAATTAATTTCCACAATGAATTATCACTTATTTTGACAGGAAAGAAATGTACAACGTTTTTTTTTTTCTAGTGGCGATAAAAACATTATTTAAGCATCATTACTGAAAAGACTGCTTGAGATGTCAATCGCAGCAAAACCGGATGATTAGATATGAAAGAAGAGAGAGAATCTCGGGAAATCTCTGCGAAATTATATAATTTGCAGCAGATAAGGAATTTCGACTTTCCCTTAGTACTTGACACGAATTAAACACGAACTATTCCATATGAACTCCAATTTTGACATCCAAATAGAAGAGATTCCACCCTGGCGGTCTGCAGATGAATGATAACGACTTTTTATATCAAGTGATAACTTTAAAAAATTTCTTCCACACCACTAAGTTTTGCAGCAACTAATGCAGAAAACGAGGTGAGGTTCAACGCTTTCACTGCTGACTGCAATCCAGATTTTTCTCATGCACTTGTTTATGAAAGGCTTTGTATCTCCTATTTTACCAAAATCTAGGCGGTTCCAGTTTTAAGCTAAAAAAAAAGAAAAACTGCTAAACGCTTGTATATGCAAGTATGAATCACTGGAGCAATGGTTTGATATCTTATATTACTTTAGTTTAAAGTTAAATTTCTGAAACGAGAAACGAATCAACTTAAAAATTAGTCTTCAGAATTCAATCGACCACTCATTCATCCTATTTCTATCTGCGTATAATAAACATCACCAACCTTTCTGAACATGTTCATGATAAATCGTTTTGCGCTGATCGTCTGCTGAAATACGCTGCGCCTCACGTGACACATGCCTCACGAATTCCACACAACAAGCGTTCAACAGTTCACGCGATTCATTGGCTACTCTCATCTCTGGTATCACATCTTTGATAATCATATTTAGGCCTTTCTGAGGTAGGCCAACTTCGCTATCTTCATCACCCATCGCCTGCAAAATTTGATTAATGATAAAAAATTTTAAAAATTGTCCGGAAATGTATATCATCTTTGCACTTAACACTTCAGCTCAATAAACAAAGAAATTATGACAAAGGAAGCGAAAAAGTCAGAATTTTTCTTTCATACTGTAACTTCACTAATAATTCTCCTTCACCTGTCCCTTCCCATTTAAGTCACAGCCAAAAGAGGCGGAATTTATGTGCAGGTTGTGAGCACAACTTAAATCAGTAAAGTTTGATATATGTGCAAATGAATTATTTCTCTTTAAAAGAGAGTCCGACAATATGCATAGCATTTGCTTCGGTCGATAAAAGATGAAACAAAAATGAAAACCAAGAAATCTAGCATTTCAGATCCTATCGTAAAGATCAAAACTGTTCCGTAATCCAGATAAATTACAACTTAATATTCATTTCATTATTCATTTTCCTCAGATATAAGAGGAGAATTTTCCTTTCTCTCGACAATTACTTCAAAAACAAATTTCAATTATAGTTGAAAAAGGGTACGGAGCATGATCGTGTTTTCAAACTCGGTTGTAACCAAGTATTTTTACCGCTCTTTGATAGATTGTGTTCTTTAACTAAGAGAATTAGAAATAATAAAAATTTGTTCTGATCCTTTGCTCTTCTTCATCAAGTTTCCTAATTCCTAAATATTTCTCCTTCCTATACTCCTTTATATCACATCACTCCTATGCATGTAAACTCGTCAAATTTTCTCATCGAAATGGCAAGTCAATTAAATTCAATGAAATTTTGAAACTTTGAAATCAAGTGAAGCTGAAGTGCCTGACTGGCAATTCATTTGCTTAATATTTCATAAAAACTTTGTATTTTAATGCAGACTTAATACAAAAATCTAGTGAATTTTACCGCAATATGTAGCCCAAAAACTATTACACCCTTTCATTTGTACTACTTTTTAATCGGCTGTAATTCGAATGCAACTTTACATAGCTCGGAGATCCAAGGATCTTAGATCAAATTCTGCGAGCAATGTAATAGGCCAATTATTCCGCCATTTCAAAGGTAACTCCATTCGTCTCTTCTTAATTCTGAACGGATAGTAATTTTAAAAGTAAAAAACTCAAATATCATTACAAAAGTAGCATACAACTTTACCATATGAACAGAATTTCCGTTCATAGGCGAAAATTGAATCTAGCGTCGCTAAAAACCGAGTTACTGTTGTAAAATGTTGTAAATGAACTTATGTTGATTAATGAAGTTCATATGGAACGTCGGTACATTGCAAAGAATCTCAGGTCAATGTCTGCATATTACAAAGTACTTTAGGTTATCTTGGGATCAATCAATTCTAACTTCTTGGACTGTTGTAAAAAAACTCCCATTATATAAGGAACACGGAAACACAGAATACACATAAGTCATTCCACACTACGATACAAGATTCTACAAGAGATCATTCTACAATTCAGGAGTTTCTACAATTCAGTTGTATTTAATATTCCCTGGAAACTCCCTTATAATGTAAAATACCTTTCCGTCTATCAATAAACTGTCGTTAACCAATATTCGATTGTGTCTATGCACGAAATTTCTAAAACTTCCGCAACTCTAATTAATGAATCGCTGAAGTTTTTACGATTATTTCCATCCTCACTTATTGCCCATTACGGTACTAATTAGCATTAAGCTCTAAAACAGCTCTATAGCTCGATGAAACAAAAGGTTACAGTTAACCGAAGCACCTAATAACTCCTTTGAAACTAATTACTCATTTGATGACTTAGTTAAAATACTTGATTTAACAGGATGTAAATTGAATAAAATCTCTTTTAATACAAATGCAAACTTGAACAGTTTTGCACTCTACCATAATAAAATTATAATTTCGAGTTTCCACTTTTAGTAACTTTGTGAGAGAAGGGCTTTATAAAAAGCAATCAAAATTGAATTTCTGCCTTCAAGTGTAGAACAATTGTAAAAAACTGACATTTTAAAATATCGCTTATCTGTGATTAAAAAAATTACGAGCACGACGAATCCAGCTTGCTGACTCCATCAATTTTTCGTTTCATTAAGCATTAATATTATTACCATTAATGCATTTTTAAATCTTGCAAGATAGAGGATTTGTCCTCATCGTTCCAGTTATATTTTCTAATCTCTAAGCAAGCAGCCAAACATATCAAAAAAATTCGAAAATCATTTGACCATGTATTAATTTGTTTTTGTATAACTTGAAACTAAACAAATTAATATATGGTCAAATGGTTTTCAAAAAAAATTGACATTTGCCAAAATGAGTACCACCTAATCAGATTTAAAAAAAAAGATCGTCACAATCTTTATAAATGTACACTTTTGCCAATTAGCTGTCTTACCTTCATTTGTGGTGTCCACTTCAACTTCATGTCTTTTAATGAAAATTTGTTCAATTATATTAAGATCTGGACTGCCCACAGTTCACGAAGAAAAAACTTTGAATGTGAGACGAGAACTGCTTTCTTCGCTGCTTGAGAAGAGATTTAGAAATAGACTTGTTTGACATCTGAAGAAAGACATCCACTAAAAAAATCTCATGTGTATAAGAAAAAATGGAAATTCAAGATGTCGTTAAAGATCTAGACTTGTCGACATAGAAAAACAAGCTTATGGACCAGAATAAGAGCCTAATTTCAGAAAAATAAATGAGAAAGAAGTCAGATTAGATTTGCAAAAAAAAAATAAGCGAACAAAAATTAGGTGAGATCTAAGACCAGATTCGAAGAAATCCTAACGCCATAAGAAAGATTTCACGTTGAAAAACAATCAAAAGTGATAAATAAGCAGCACATGCCTTAGAACTTTCAACAACTCTTTACGAAGTTACCATCGCCCTGTATTTTCTTGCGGGCATAATTTGGAAAAAATTATTCACCAGAAACATCAAGGATCTACTACCCGCAACTGTCTCTTGTTCTTCACTTCTCTCAATGCCACTTCGCACTTTTTTCTTTAGCAATTTTGAATGTTACATTTAGTTATAGAACGCAGCAAACAGCAAAACATCAATGTTTACTTTGCCATTACTAATATCGCACAAAAGCGATCCTTGGCAGCTTCGTGTCACCATCCTGTTTTTTCGAAGTTTAAAATTATACTTTTTTCGAAGAAAAGGACATAGTCAGCTAAAATGGATCAGTAGATACAGCAACACATAATCAAGTAGGGCTCATCATATCATTATCGTCTGTCAATAGATATTCGATGAACTGCATCAAAATACTAATCAAGATGACCTTTTATTGTTTCAGCCAACTAATGCTCGTCTTTACCCCTTTTTTCAAAACCTCAGGCTATTCTAGTCTGTTTATGAATCACTATGCGACAAGCGATTGCCTGTGAAACAATTTAAATGATCTAACGATTATAACAACTAATTTGGATTTTGCATGCAAATATAAATTTCTGATTCAGTAACATGACAAAAGTTTCATACACAATTTTTTTGAAGTGATTTTTTAAAAAAGAGGAAAAGAAGAAATGAAATATGATACTTTATCATCGTGACATGGCCGAAGGTCAATTGCTTTAATGGACTCATCTCAAATTTTAAAATCTAAAATCTAGCATCCGAATCCCAAATCTTTTTTTTTCGCACAAAACTTTTTTTTTCCTCACGTAATTTCTACTCCCATCATTTTTGAAGTATGAATCAATACCGCATTATTACCCCTTCTCCAGTAACCAATTATGCTAGTTCTAATAATTGCATAAAGGTAACTGATTTATACGGTAAAATCGCAACACCCGCTTTGATGATTTCACAAAAATACAAACTGCAGTTCTGTAACACACAACACAAACCACTGAAATGTAAAATGAGCTGATTTAATAGCACCCGAAGAAAGATTATTTCTGATTCTTTGACATCATTAGAAGTAAAACCATTAGAAGTACGACTATATTTTCACTATATTTTATTTAAATTAGTTGAAAAGTTACAGAAGTAATATGCATCTAAGTAACTAAACAAACTGATCTGGTATATATAAATATATATATATATATATATATAATATATATATAATATATATATATAAATAATATATAAATAGTTATAAATAACTCAGGCAGGTAAAAGGGCAGTATCAACATCATTACTATCTCTCTATCGTCATCAACTCCTAACGTCACTATCGTCAGCATTGTCATCAATATCATTACTAGAATCTTACCGTCATGAAAAACACGGCCTCGTCCCGTTATCGCCATTTCCCTTCAATGTCATTACTATATTCACTAGTTATTATAGGTATCTTTACACATTAAATATTGAGAAATGAGCAGAAGGAAAATAGACGAAAAGTTTTAGTTGCTTATCCTATTTTATTAAAGTTGCTTAATAGGAACGAAGCAGTAGGTGAGAAATATATTACAACCAGGCGGAAAGACTGGAGCTTAAACAGACACAAAATAGAATTTAGAAATGTTACATTAAAAATGAAAGAAAAAAATCTTAAAAAATCTTCCCCAAACTTCCGATCTGCAAAGAACTTCTGTATAAACTTCTGCAAAGTTGTAATATTTTCCTGAAAAAAGCAATCCAACAAATCAATTAATTAAATCAAACCAGCAAATGTACAAGTAATCTTTATATCATCTACCGAAATCTTTCCACTCTTTTTTCTGTAATTTCGGATGAATAATTTACAGGTTTCAAAGAAAAATCCAGGATTTCCTATTCTATTTTCCTTTGCGTGGTCAAAAATATGATTTCAAAGTTGTGAAGAGGGAAATGCATAGACAGATTGCAAATCTCTATCATGAATTAACTAGCGCCTTGTGCCATACTGCAATGTGTTCGGAAGTTTAGAATATTAAGTGCATCCATGCGCATCTACATATCTTATTATGGATAAGAAAAAATCTGATATGGATCCAATGGGTATACAACTGATGCATCAACTGCATAAATAACTGGTAAGAAGTGTTTAGTGAATATAATTAACCCATTATGTTAATTATGCCACAAATCGCTTTTTCTTAATTTCAGATAGAAATTTCATAAAAATGGCTTAGTGAGATTTCTGCCATAAAATTGAAGCAAATCAATACTATACCTGACTGTGGTTTAAACTCTTGAGATCTTTGTTGGTTCCAACAGCACCTTGTCAGTATCCATAAACCAACAATTTCGTCGCTTACCTTCAAATTGCACAGAAATTTAGTTATGTATAGCAGCTATACAAATCAGATATTTTCACATCCAACTGCTCAATGCTCATCCTTAATTTATCCCTTTGGTGATTCGTACTCCTAAAGCCTGAGTCCTGACAAAGTTTACGCAGCTTGCACTCAAGATAATCCGAGAAATATCGAAACTGAAAAGATAGATGGATCCCATTACATGGAGCTCTTTTTTTGGTTCTCATAGATTTTAGCAAAGCAAAGAAAAAATTAGATGTAATGTTCAAGAAGGAACGTTCCAAATAAGGTCGAAACTAATCGATTTAGTTAGATGTAAATAGACATATGAAAATTTATAACGTAGTACGAAGTAAACGTGATGATGCAATATGCACAAAAAATTTATATTGCAATGAAATTTACAGAATTTCAAAACAAACTTGCACTCACAATGAAACAAACAAGTAGACGGCTACCTAAACGAAACCATCTTTCACCAGAATAAATTACACAGCCGCAAATTACCGATCTCGTTAAAAAAAAAACAAAGTATGAATAAGTAACATAATGCATTGCATGTAATGCAGCACTCATAATTTCTCATTTGTTTGAATAAAATACAAAAACACTGGTCAGAGAACGAGTAATACCTTTTGGTTTGAACTGAATTCTAATTCATGCGGCACCAATCTCACTGCTATTTCACAGCCTTAGAGCAAATAATCATCAACTTTATCTATTCATTTCTAAATTTAGAGATCCCTGAAAGTATGCAAATTTTCGAAATGATAATGTGTCCGTAATATTCAAAGAATAATGTATACAATAAATATATATACAATAAGAATAATGTATATGTATACAATAAGAACAATGTATATCTTCCTTCGAGAATATTTCAAAAAAAGAAAAAAAAATGCTTCGAGTCAGAAAATGTGCCACAGATATTTCTTTCAAATCCATATAACGGGAGTGATTTCTTTCAAATCTATAGTAACAACAGTGGATTTGAATGAAAATATTTCGCACGCCTCCCAACACTTCCTTATTTTCCTGATTGCTCTATAAATGCTCAAAGATCATGGCAAACATAATCTAAGAACAGTCTGGACTAACCATTTCCTAAGAAAGACCTTGAAGTAAAACTGTTTAACAAGACAATTTTCTTATTAGAAACAATTTTCTTATTAGAACGGCTCGTGATCATAGAAATGAAAACCGAACATTGGAATTCCAAGACAATGGTGTGTCACTGAGCTATTTCCATATCCACAATAAACTCTCAGAAAGCCAATTTTCTACACATATCAAATATAGACGAATATGACATAGTAGAACACAAATTAACAGTGTAATCAAAACTGCCGCTAAAATTGAGTGGAGTTGAATGACGAGAGTGGAGTTTGAATGATAATCAGCTCGATGAGTCTCAAAATAGTATTTGGAAACTTCCGATAACCTACGGCTAAAACTTTGACTCGGCGCCCACAGAAACGATATATTGCCCAATCGTTTTTTACAGTTAGTTCACATCCAGAACTTTCTGAGTGCCAGCAGGAAATCGTATAATTGTTTTTACTGATATCACCTTGCCAAGTGATATCAGATAGTTCCATTCCACCAAATACTGTTGTTACATTATTCTGAGTGCGTTTAAAAATCATATTGCGTGTTAATCCTTTCATGAAATCATAACTTTATGATTAAAATAATGTCCAAGTCTTCTCACAATTTTAGAGCTAGCAGACATTCAACTTGAAGTAAACGGAAATCAAAAACGTCTTTACGTCCACCAATCCTTCAAAAAGACCTAACTGTCTTGACTTTATGATTAAAAATACAAAGTGAGACATATATGGCGAAAGAACCTGTATAATCAAGTACCATAACGATTTTTAGGCATCTTCGCACTGTCCCGATACCAAATTAGTAAAGTACCTTCAACTTGCAATCGAAATGCTGATATTTTGCGATATATAATGCAACGAATGTACGTTATCGTATGGGATCAAGAGTTGTCTGCTCTGAAAAGCTATTAAGAATATGCAAAATTGGTACAAATCTATATTAGAAGGGATTACTGGCTATCCGCAGAATGATCGTGGCAACAAGAATCCTGTGCCTTCACTTTAAGCAGTATAGTTCAAAAACTTCACAGAAAATATCTGTGGAAGAAATGTAGCGAAACAACTACCTCACCTATCTTTCTATTTTTTCCGTTTTTGTCTCTTTCCTTCCGGTATGAATTTCTTCCATTCATACATTTTCCTTTTTTTTTAGCATTATAGCAATACGACCTCACATTTCGAAAGAATCAAACTCGAGTAAGTGGAATACTTATTAATTTTTCTCTAGCAACAGAATGAAAATAAAATCCAAAAAAATAAATTAATCAAAAGAGTAGAGTAAGAAGGGTAAAGCTGAGAGAATTCGTAAATCAATAATAGAATTGATGAGTTGTAATTATCTGGTCAAATCATACAGCAGTTATGACCAAATAAAAAAATTAAGCAGAAAAACCAACTGGAATTGAAAGGAACTAAAATCAGTTTACAGTTATAATGTTATTGTTGAACGCAAAAACTTTGAGCACTTCAGTCACACTATTCGAGTCATTATTAGTTGACTTAATCCAACAATCCAACAACCTATGCAAAACAGTCAACGACACATCTAAGTTACTGCTCATGCATTATCGAGATTGGTAGGAAATTAGTGCTTTAAATGATAAATAGCTAGTTTGAAACATGACTATTAATTATTCATTCCAGTTCAAAGTTATTTCAGCGATAGCTGATAATATAGCTAAAAGTCTTTAATAGACAAAGAACCTTATTCTTTCGTTGTTTTCTTTTTTTTTTTTTTTTTTGTGATATGCCGTTAAGGAGGATTCCATTCCATTTGCTCTGCAATTTGCAATTTGCTTTGGTAGTACTTCTTTGAATTGGCCATCTCGAAACTGCGAAAATCGACCCTCGTGTTTTGCACTGCTGTTGGATGTGTTAGTTTCATTACTGCAGTTCGAAAACCGCATTTTTAGACTGCTATCCTGAAAGTAAAAGTGTTCCAACAAAAACTGGAGATTTATGATTTCGTGTCCCGAACGCAAAGTAAGTCAAATTACCATATATGAATGGATGTTGGATTCAGAAAAAAGGACTGAAATTTCAAGTAACTTAGCTCGATAAAATAGAACAGATTCTGATTATAAACCTACCGGTACACTAAATTCGGTAGAAAGTTTCCCACATCAATTCTCAATCCAAAAGGTTCTAACGAATTCAGTCAAATACTGCGAATATGCAATAAATTCTGAAGCGATTTCTCATCTCTTCCCTGGTGATTTGAATATTAGCAATAAAATTGGTGTACATTATGAATCACGGAAGGGGATGGTAGGCAAGCTGCAGTTTGTTATACGTGAACGGTTTGATGATGAAGAAGCATAGATGGCAATCGATATACCTCACCAACCCGCCCTAACTCGTTACTTGTTATTACGATCTCTCCAATTTCAGTTTTTTTTTCCCCCCCCCCCCTTTTCTCCTAAGACTATCACTGTAGTACGCTATAAGCATTCATTCCATATAATTCAAGACGTTAATGTTGAAAGAATCTCGCTTCCTCGCAGTTATTCGGAAGCAATGTTTTAACAAATGTAAAAATAAAAATATAAAATTACAAGCATGCTGCATTACAGTGAACCAAAACTTTTAGGTTTCAAGATGACGTTAGGGAAAGAGTAGAAAGAAGTGGTTAAGTACTTCTTCCGGCGATGTTCAGCAACAAAGAAGGATCTAATCATAAAAAAAATGGCTCTTCGCTATCTCTCAGCATGCGTTCCGTTCCAGCAAGCTTGCTGTAACGCAGCGAAAGAGATAAGATGAAACACTTCTGCGGTACTGATTAAACTAACTAAATGAGAAGCGCAGCAGAAAAACTGGACTTCACAACTTTGGCTATCAGCTGCAGGTATTCCGCAGTCAATGCTGACAGAGTGCCGTTGTCTACTTCATCTCTTGATCATTTCGAACACACCTCGCCATGAATATATGAGTGCGACACACACACTCTCTCTCTCTCTTTCTCTCCTCTCTCTTCATTCATCCTCCTACATCTCGCATGAGAGTGTCTTCCGTGAACTATTGACATCTAACCAAAATCATTGCTTAGGTTTACCTGAAATGTCCCTTATCCCTTTCCTTCTTTCATTACATTCATGAAATGTTTCGGGCCTGCTGGCCACTCACGTCTTTGCCCACACTAAGTCATGAAGTATTGTGTAGGAACTTACTAGAATTATCCTTAATCTCTTTTTTATATTCTATCCAATCCTTTCCAATAGTAATTTCATGTTCAGAGTCATTAACTCTTCTCAATTATGGAAACATACGTAATGTCTGATTTCTTGGTCAATGTTTGTTATGACAACAATCTGATTTACAGTCAGTTTGCACGAATTTCCCACAACCACTGACAAGTTAACGAATGATTTTGGTTCCATTTATGACATGACGAAATTTGCTCATTATGACATGTCAATTCACTGGAATCCATCCACAGGTCGAAAGATGTATATAAGCAGCTGTTAAATTTCCTATTGATTTAATTAAGTATACAACTTTAAATCCATTAAAATGAGTTGATAGTAAGGAAGGTGAAACAAATCAAAGATATTCGATCTTTAAAACCAGCAGTTGTGAGGAGTACTGGCTGCAATGTGTATGGAAAGATCTTGATGTTGAAGGACAGAAGTAAAGTTGAGAGGAACAAATGAAGGGAAGGCCAGAAATCATACCGTTAGAAGACAATCATAATGTGGCAATCAGTTGTCGCATAGTACAATGCAAACATAACATGAAATTATGAGAAAGTAGCTG